GATACTTTATTGTTGATTATGGATACTATAATTATTACAAGTTGTGAATTTTTATAATATTTATCATTTGGTATTTTAATTTCTAAAATTTGTTTAGTGTGTATAAATCTACTTGTGCATAGTCTTGAATAGTTAAATTTTGTTTCTACAGAGAATGTTGAACTCTTGCCAGATAATGAATTAAGATATTTGTGTATAGGGTGTTCAATTTCCTGGAATTCACTATCAAAATTTTCATATATAATGTATCGAAAATTCCACATTTTTTCTTTTTTTGCCCAATTTTCTTAATCGAGATTCTTTAGTAATAAAGTTTAATTTTATTTATCCCTTTAAGATACATAATTCAATATTATGTCATTGATTAAGAAGATCTTAGTTGCTAGTGACCTCCAATACAAAATCTGATGTCATTGTATAAAAAGATGTTAATTCTCAGTTTCCATTACTATTAGCGAGATGATAGTCACATTTACTACCTACATTAACATAAAAATACAATTAAATAATTACGATTGACAGATACTATAAATGAAATAAAATTATTTTTTCCATATATATATTCCCTATTTTTTTAATTTTTCTTTGGTTGAAAATAGTTACTATTTCATTATATGTGTGCGTGTGTGCACGCCAGTAGGGATGATTTTAAAGGAGAATGATTCTAATAAAAGAAATAAGAATACATTTTAACCATAAAATTTGATGATCCAACAACAAATATATACACATATATATATATATGTATATACATTTATTAAGGGTATTTTTTGTATTTTATCTCACACATGAATGTGCCCCTTCCTCTCTCTCTCTCTCACACACACAAATTTATAGATTAATTTATTAGGATGTTTTGGATAGTTCATGTAGATATGGAATGTACTCCATGCCTGCGTAAGGACTTTTAAAAATATAAAACATTTGAATAATTTAAATCATAAATATATTTTAAAAGGTAAATATATTTTTTTATTAATTTTTTATATATTCCATATCAAAACAATAAATATTTAAGCAAAGTTAGATATGATATCTATATTGTAATATAAATAATCAATTATGTTTTCCTTTGTAGTAAAAGTTAATTATCTATCAATAATAATATAAAATAAATTAAACTACTTCTCAATTAAATAAAATTTTTAATCATATTTATCATATAGTATAAACTGAAAAAATATTATAACATAGGTTGACTAATTTGTACAAGTGAAGTGCATTATATAAATAATAACCCAAATTTCTAAAACTATATTTATTTTCAGAAAAAAAAATTATATGTGCATACTTTAATTGACATCTATATAAGAGTATCCACAATGTTTTGAGTTCAATTGACGTGACAAGAGACTCGGTCTATCCATAAGTTTATTTTAGACCCTAGTAAAGATTCAGTCTCTTTGCAATGGAGTGAATTTTATTAATTTTAAATAGTTTTATCCATGTCATCCAAGACTTGAGTTGATTTACATGCTAACAAACTAGACCCAATAGATTGTAGATGCTCTAATAATACACGAGGTTATTATAATATGATTTAAAAAATATAATTTTTTATTTACAATTATAATTATGTGCTACTTAACCGTATGATTCTCAACGCCGCCTCGTGGAAATCTAGTTTAGTATTATTATACTTCTTTCCCAATATAAAAGGTAAAAGAAAAAAGTACACGCGGGAATCAAAAGCCCTTTTTTGTAATTTCACATACTAGCGTATGAAAAGGCCTCTCTCCCACACACATTCTGATTCAGCCCGGTCTCAACCCATCTTCCCACCTGCCAGACGGAGCCAAACCCCTCTTATTCAATTCCCTACCTCATCCCCATCCCCATCTCCTCCACTCTCTCTCTACCCTTTCACACACACAAAAATCCTTTTCTTTTGTGGGCTTTTCCTCAAAAAAATCTTTCTCAATCCCTTACGAATTTCATTTCTCAAGACTCAGCTCGCCACTGGGTCGTCTCTTTCCGCCGGGGGTTTCAAGATTCCCATGGGTTGTGCGCCGCCGTAGAGACTTGATAAACTCCCTCCCGCCGCGCCCCCATGTCGTCCAAGCGCAGGGCCGATGATTTCNTCTCCGATCACACCCTCGTCCTCCACGCCGACCCCCTGGACACCATCAGATCGGTTCACGAGAAAATCCAGTCCATCACCGGAATTCCCGTCATCGAGCAGCGCCTCATCTACCGTGGCAAGCAGCTCCAGTGGGAACAGACTCTCTCCGAGTGTGGGGTTCAGAACGATGCCGGCCTCCACATGGTCGGCCGCATGCGCAGCACCGGCCACCCTCAGGCCTGGCAGCTCATCAACGATGTCGTATCCCAGGTCTTCTACCAATACAAGAATAACCCCTCTTCCCAGACTTTCTTTCCCCCCACCCCCCGCAAAACCGTCAAGTCTATGCTCCTCGAGTTCCTGTCCATGACCCCAAGAACGGATACCGATCAAGCCTCTGGCCATCTCCAGATTTTCAGCGCCTCCTCTGCCCCAGCCGCCCTAGTGATGCTCTACATGTCCCCTTACAAGCCCAACCGGGACGTGGCTGGTGATGCCATCACGCATTTCATCACCTCTTGCAAGACAATCTTGCCCAAGCAACACTATCATCTCTGTGTGCCCATAGTTATGGAGTTCTGTAAACTGTTGAGTAGGGCCGTGGGGACAGATGACTCCTTGTACGCTCTGTGTAGGAGTAGTTTGGGGACAATGGTGGAGTTCATCGATATTGGGGAGAAAAAGGACTCAGTTGGGCTTCGCGACGTGTTCTTGTTTGTTTGCGAGTTGGCTACCAAACTGTCTTCTGACCTGGTGGCGAGTACCCAGTCTGGATCCTTCTCGGCTCCCTCGATCTCTGATGTTCAAGATTTCGCAGCCTTTGTGGCCCCTGTGAGGAATGGGATTAAGGCAGACATAGGATTTTGTGGGCCCATTCGAGTTCCATTGAGCGAGGAGCTCTGCCGGCTGCCCCTGTGTTTTGCGAATGAGATTGTCGTCTTGCACGGGATCTTTTTCGACCTTCTGAGCAAATTGGAGAAGTTTATGGTGAAAATTGAAGAGCGTCTGGACCGGGCCAAGAAACGTGAGGGTGAGACCTTTCATGTCGGGTGCCAGTACCTTGATCTTCTGAAGGAGCTTAATAGTACTTCCAAACTCTACCAGGGCTGCGAGGAGGTGTTCTGGGAGACTATGAAGCAGAGGAAGAGTGCCGTGTGCTATCTGATCTTGAGGTGTTCTAGGAGGAGCGACGATCACATCTGGATTTCGGAGTGTAAGGAGGTAACCAATTTTGAGGCAAGGAGACACCTGGCGATGATGCTTCTTCCTGAGGTGAAGGACGACTTTGACGATCTGCACGAGATGCTCATCGACCGATCAAACTTACTGGCGGAATCATTCGAGTACATTATAAATGCAGATTTGGAATCCTTGCGTGCGGGCTTGTTCATGGAGTTCAAGAACGAGGAAGCAACCGGTCCTGGCGTGCTGCGGGAGTGGTTTTTCTGCGTATGCCAAGCAATTTTTAACCCTCAAAATCCGCTCTTTGTGGCTTGCCCGAATGATCGTCGAAGGTTCTTTCCAAATCCAGGTGTGCATTTTTCAATATATATATATATATATATATATATCTTGAAGTTCTGTAGTTCATGCTGTTCCAGTAATTATTGAGATATATCTATGAATTTTCTAGCAAATCATGAAACAACATTCGTTAAGTTACTGTTTGTTGAGGACTTGAACTACCAACCAAAAGGAAGAAGTAGGATAAAGCATGCATATATCTGTTTTGTCTTCGGATAAATATCAGTTTTTTAATTGTGGTTTTAAATTTGATGTTTTCTCGCGTATCTTTCTAACAAGTTTAAGTTGAAAACCTTTAGTGTCTTTGTCAGCAGTTAGATAATGAAATGGATAGGTACAATAAAGGATAATCATACTTACAATCTTCCTTGACCTCGAATGATTGTGCTGTTCTTAGTAACTTGGTCTAGTGATCATACGAAAAAGAAGCACAGACACCATGTTCTAGGTGATGGTTTTGGCTTCTTATGTGCTATAATATTTGGGAGACACATTGATGTGTTACAAGAGGAGTACAAAATTGGATATTAAAGTGGTATACATTCTTTTATGATTATAATTAGACTGTAATATGAATGCTGAAAGTTTGAATATTGCCAACATGTCGCGTACTAAAGATTCTGTGCTCTTGGATAGATGTGGACAGTAGAACCTTGTTGTTTGTTCAAATATAATGTCATTTTGCTTTCTATTTACATGTTTGCCTCTCGTGGAGTGGAGCCACAGATAAATAGGGGGCTTTGTAGACTTCTGATTACTCTCTTATGGTCATGCACTTAACGCTTTTGGATGAATTTCATAAATAATGATAAGAAGTTATCCTTTTTGGGTTGCTTAATGGTTGGAATGGACGGTCTCCTTGATGTGTAAATGCATGAGGTTTGTTTAACCTGGTTCTTCATGTTGTGTGCATGATAAGGAGGGTATGGATGCCCTGGATGTAGCATTTAGTAGTTTCGTATATTTAACTAGCTTCCCATACTGATTTCTGGACCACTGTCATGGAATAACATTGTTGTGTTACTGAAGCCAAACATTTTAAGAGCACCAATATGAAGATTTGTGAGCCGTGATAACAATAATTAGTTCTTAGCCCATCATAGATTACTGAGTGATCCTAGATGTGCACCTGAAAATCTTTTTGTTTTTTCAATTTATCATTTTGATCATGGCATTCTTTTGTTGTTTCATTTTTATTGTTGCCCTTTTCCTTCACCAGTGAAATACCATTTTGTAATTTATATTGTTTTTTTTTTCTCTTCCTTTCCCTACTCACCTAATGTTATGTGATGTTGGGGCGCTATACCGCTACCAATGACGCCGTCTCCCCTCCTCTCCTCTCTGTCTCTATCTCTATATATTTATATATACATATATATGTGTGTGTGTGTGTAATTGGCAAAGTTTGGTACCTGATCAAGCCTAACCCTTTGAAAGAAGTATGCTATCTAGTAAGATCACGCATAAGGGCTCCTTCTAGCATCCAAACTTGTCATGTGCAATGTCTGGTGTAATCTTCCATAAAACACCTATTTTTACATCTTAGCTACGCGGAATTCTTCGTCTACCTATATTAAGGCTTCACCTACTCTTAAATTCATAGTCGGTTCGGGGTGTAATCGGTGTACTAGCATTCTACTGCCCGCCATTCGACCTGTAAGTACGAATAACCTTGGTCTACCTCTTTCTATGGGACACCAATCAGGAAGCCATCTCAGGATCTCAGGTACGGAACAGAAAGGCCTCCAAGCGTGTGCCCAGCTTAAGGAAGGATGGTTGAACAGGAAGGAGTGACTCTTAGTGAAGAGAAAGAATTTCTTTCAGATTGATATTGATTCAGAGGTTTCTTCTGTCCTATCGGATAGGCTGGAGCTTTTATCTTATCTTTGGCAAGACATCAGATATAAATGAATATAAGGGCGTTGAATGTGGGGGCTGTTCTTTTGAGTCTTGCTCGAGCCGGTGGTAGAGTGGTGGAAACACTTCTTTCTTCTATATATATGAAACTGAGTTCGCCTTTCCAAAAGGACTCATATCCTTCTTTTCCACTACTGTCTCTGAAGCTTCCCAGTTGCTCTATGCTTTACTCTCTCTCTCTCTCTCTCTCTCTCAACAGCTCAACAATGGTTGTTACCTTCTCGGATATGGACACAGATGCTCTCAAGGCACTCGATGACTTCCTGTCCAGAACATCTTACATCTCCAGGACCAACTAACGTTGAAGTAGCCGAATGCCAATCTTTACCCCAACGCCTGCAAATGGTATGTGATTGTTTCTGCAAAAGTTAGAGCCAGCTTTCCAGGAAAGGCTGTTGGAGTAAGCGTTGGAGGTAGTGCGGAATTCGTTGCTCCTGCTAAGGAAACTAAAGAGTATGCGGCTGAAAATGACAGTTGCTCACAGAACATTAGCTAAGGAAACTAACAGATATTTTCAGAGTTGTGATATTTTGGCCGTCAACAAAATTTAAACGTCTAGGCCTATTCTGGCCCTGATTTTGTTAGTTTTTTAAGGTCATTTGCTTGTGGGTGTCATTTATTTTTTGATTTTGTCTTGCGTGTCTTACCAAAATGTGCTTTGTTTCAATTTGAAAAAATAAAAGGCGATGAATACCTTGTTTTCATTATCCATATTTTTGTGTTTTTATTCATCCTTTTAGTTTGATGAATGTGAACTTCACAAAAACACCACCCATTTGCTTAAAGTAGGGTTCAGATTGGAAACTGCATACATGGAGTGAAAGTTGGTAGAGAAATAGTCTGACTCCAGAATTAGGATAGTGTGTCTTAACTGAAGTTCTATACAGTCCTAGCAGAAATGTATCCCTCTCTATATGCTAATACAAACTTTCTTGAGCTTGTATCACTCGAAGCATGCTTATGCTGATTTTTGGCTCATGGCTTATTACGGTGGTTTGAAATCGCCTGTATCGCTATTTTGACCTTCCGAGTGAAACATAGTCAGCTTTGGTTTTCCACTTTGGTTTTCTACATCAACTGCCAATTAAAAATTGTAATTTTTGTTATTAGCATTCTATTTTCTTTTTAATCAATCAAAATATTTATAGTATCAGTTTTATTTGTTTCCTTCTTAGCTCTTCCTTATATTAATTACTATAAATGTGTTTCTTTTTTCTATTTTTTAAAACCTAATAACCTTTTTATATTGTTATTTTTTTATAAACAATATATCACATCAATAATTTTTTGATGATCTTTGCCTTGGCATTCACTCTGCATATATTTTAATATCTATTGACAAAAATAAAGTTGAAATTTATCTATTAATGTTAATTGGAAAATAATTCTTTAAATAAAAATTCTATTATGAAGACATGGCATCATCACAGTGAAAAAACATAAATAATTTATAATATATTTATGATGACAATGTTTGTTTGTATCAGTTAAAACTTGCTCAACTTCATGTGGCGACATCAAAAGTTATGGAGCATAATATTTTTGAAAAATCTATTTGTTTCAAAATGATGTCATTGTGAATATACAAACAATGAATTGTACGAAACGAAATTTTGAAATATGAAATGGATGGTTTGTGTTAACTATTTTTCATATATACATTTATGTAAAGTCTGTGTAATACTTTGGTGTTGTGTTAGCTAGCATGAGAGGTGACTTGCCTCTTGATTCTGATTCACAAGTATATTTGAGACTGGGGTATTCATTTCAAGCTATTTTGTACCTTGCCAAAATCTTGATTTCTGTGTTTTGTTTATCTTTCCTTAAATTTAAATGAGTCCTGAGGTGGGGTGAGCACATGAATTACATACTATTATAATTGTGTATAAGAAAAGTTTGACTTCCATTATTGTTCCTCGACAACGTAATTACACGTGAATTACATACTATTATAATTGTGTATGCAGTATATGTATCTTTGAGATTTGAGTTTTTGTTCCTTTGGAGTAGATTTATCCAACATATTTTTCTGGAATCTTATGTTGACAATTTATCTTATCTTTAAAACTTGACAACGATGTGGAATACATCAAACTCCCTTGAGCCCGTAGCCTTATATTTCTTTTTCTTTTTATTTATTTTTTATTTTTTCTAAACCTCCAATCATGAAATTTTTTCTCTGCTGCTACTTGCAACTTGAAGGGTGTGCTTAAAACATGGAAAACCAGACCAAACTGTTTGAGCAATATTTGGAGAACTTTCTCCACTCATGACTTTTTAAGAAGATTTAGCCCCCTTCCTGCTGTGCATAATTTTAAGTTTATCATTTCTGGTTTGACATTTCCTTTCCATTTCATATCATGTGATGCAGATTGTGACTCGAAAATTGACTATGTAAGCTTGACTTGTGCTCATTCCCTTTTAAACAAAGACTTCAGGTTTCTATTATAGATGGCTGGGGTAGTCTTCGTTGTTGCTGTCGATTATTTTTTTTTTTTCTGGAAAATGCTACAAGTACATAATAAATGTACTCTATGTACATAACACTCACATGGAGTGGGGTCTACGTCATTTTTTATTTTTGATCGGTCCCACTCAGTGTGAGTGTTATGTACACNATATCTTTGAAATTGTAATGCTCAGAGTATGTATATTGGTGATTTTGCATTGAAAAGTTGTTGCTGGAAGCCTGGCATGGTGCTTTTGCTCCCAAAGATTATTAGTTCTATAACGTAGAATGATTCTAAAACTGTTGACTGGCCTTGCTTTTCTGATACTTGAGAAAAATAAGACCCGACTAGACAGCAACAACTTTATAAGATTAACTCATTTCTATTATTTGTCTTATTTCGCAGAAACTTTTTACTGCACTTTTAACCGGAGCATTTTTTCTGCCTTATGAACCCTGTGTTTACTACTTTAACACGCATGATTTTTGGAGACTTGTCAAAAGATTAAAATTCCAGTACATGAAAGATACTGTGATGAATCTAGCAGGGTTTTCTGTAGGTCAGTGAGATAATAATCAAAATGTTTGATAACTGGTTACCATGTATTTGCCTAGGTAATAATGTGGAGGAGTTGAAATCTTAATCCAGTGCTCTGCATGTGCCGTGGATGACCGGACATATAATTTTACATAACTACATAAGAAATGATATTACGACATACCATAGATGTTTTTTATTCCACTCCTTTTATTTTCTTCATTTTACCACACTTTTATTATTATTATTAGCGGTACGGGTGGGCATCTGAAATGTCAAACCATCTGAAGCATTTTTCAACTCTAATTCCTAGTAGCTGGTAATATTATGTTCTGATAAGGTAAAGGAAAACTTGAAGAAGACTGTTAAAAAGAGAAATCCTTTCTGGCAGACATAGTGTTACTTTCCTCATCTCTCGTGGTTTCCTTAATAGGTTCTTCAAACACGATCTATGAATTCATTCTGCTAAATTTGAATTGCACACAAAACTATGAGGTTGAATTTATAAGTCCAATTTTTTTTAACTTTTAGTTTATTTATTTAAGTNTTACTTCACACTTCATAAGGAAAAGAAAGGCATTCAGATATCTTTCTCGAGGTAGAATCAAAAGAATATTTCAATATAGACAATAGCAACTCCCAAGGTCTATTTTCCCCCTTCGTTTCTTCTTGTCTCTTCCGATTGACCAAGTAGAAAGTAAATATATTTATTACAATGAATAGAAACTGTTCCCCAGAAGTAATTTCCTTTCTTCAATTCTGATTCTCACGTCAAACTAAAAAAAAACTAAAGGAAACTTAACTATTTTTCAATCATCCTCAGCATCGACCGTGGACCCTCTCGACCGAGAATACTTCAATTTCGTGGGAAAAGTGATTGCCCTGGCCTTGATGCACAAAGTCCAGGTTGGCATCGTGTTTGACCGAGTCTTCTTCCTCCAGCTGGCGGGGCAGCCCATCACACTCGAAGACATCCGGGATGCGGACCCCACTCTGTACAGCAGCTGCAAGAAGATTCTAGAAATGGATCCATCTGCCGTGGACCAGGACACACTAGGCCTGACGTTCGTGGACGAGATCGAGGAGCTGGGGATGAGGCGAGTGGTCGAGCTCTGCCCTGGTGGGAAAAGCTTGTCCGTGGACAGCAGTAACAGGGGAAAGTACGTGGACTCGCTTATTCAGCACAGGTTCGTGAAGGAGACGGCGGAGCAGGTGGACCACTTTGCAAAGGGGTTTGCTGACATACTGAGCTGCAGGCGGCTGCAGAGGGGTTTTTTCCGGTGCTTGGAGGCAGGGGATCTTGACCGGATGCTTTACGGCAGTGAGGATGATATTTCGGTGGATGATTGGAGGTCCCACACGGATTATCATGGGTTCAAGGGGACTGATAATCACATTTCCTGGTTCTGGAAGGTATTTGTATTGTACCCTTCTTTTTTTTCTTTTTTATTTTTTTTATTTTGTCTTCTCTGTGCAACGAATTGATATCTCGCTCTATTGGAAATTTAAACACAGAAAGTATGGTTCGATGAATTTAGAGGTGGATGCAGAATTTTTCAAAGTATCAACTGGTGCTTTTATGTTATTTTAGTTATTTATTTTTAAAAGGAACGAGTTTTGAATTTGTGTGAATAATACAGAACTACATACGGGTGTGTGGGCATACTAAGGTTAGATAAGATTAGAAATGAAATTATTAGAAATAAAGTTGGGGTAGCGACCATAGAAGAGAAAATGAGAGAACCACGATTAAGATGGTTTGGGCATGTGCGTATGAGAGACTTCGAGGCTCCGGTGAGAAGGGTAGAAACACTATAATTAAGAACGCACATTAACAGGGGGAGGGGTAGACTTAAGAAAACTTGGAAGGAGACAATAAAAAATGATTGAAAATATTTAAATTTGAATGAAGATGTGTGTTTTGAGAGCATGATGGCGAACTGTGATCCATATAGCCGACTCCATTTAGTGGGATTTTAACGGCTTGTTGATTGATTGACTGATTGATTGATGTGCAACGGAATGTATCTCGCTCCATTGGAATTTTAAACACAGAAAGTATGTTTCGATGAATTAGAGGTGGATGCAGATTTATTTGTTTATTTTTTGTCTCAATATAAAACTATGAAATGGTGCTTTTTATGTTGTTTTAGTTAATTCCTTTTTAAAAATGAAATAGTTTTGAATTTGTGTCAATAATACAGAACTAAAGGGTACTAGTCTGTCGAAGCTCTGAGTATGGGAGGTGTGAAGTATTTTGTACTACAAATTGAAGTGCAATCTGTTTTCCATTTTCTTTGGTGAAAATAATAGCCTGTAGTTGTGTTCTTGATTTTCATGACCAAATTTGCAGATTGTTGGGAGCATGACAAAGGAGCAGAAGAAAGTTCTCCTTTTCTTCTGGACCTCGATTAAGCATCTTCCGTGTGAGGGTTTCAGTGGGTTGGCTTCTCGACTTTACATCTACAAAAACTCTGAGTCGTCCGATCGGCTGCCATCATCTCACACATGCTTTTATAGGCTCTGTTTTCCAGCATACCCCACAATGTCTCTAATGCGTGATCGGCTTCGAATTATCACTCAAGAGCATGTAGGTTGCAGCTTTGGTACTTGGTAAAGATAAAAACACACAAAAATCGGGCGATTTTAGGATCGTGCACATAACTTAGAAAAATCTGTGGTAGGTTTTTTTGTACATAAATGATAGATGATTTCTCTTTAAGAAAGTCTTTCTTTTCTTCTGGCTTTGGCCCTTATGTAAGGAGGTGTTAGCAAACATGCCACACCGGCCAATGTTTCTTTTGACAGAGATTGTAATGTTTTAGTGGTCCTCTTTTGAAACAATTGGTAAGGTTAATTGAGTTAAATTTAAAAGGCAAGTGAAGATGGAATTGTTTTAGTTTCGGATTTATTTATTTGTTTGTTTATTTTATTGAAAAAGAGTATTCCGAATGTGTGGCATTTTTTGGTGTTGCGTAATTGTATATCTTTTGGTGATTCAATTGTGGATTTGGAGTTCAATTGTAGAGTTGGAGGGTCACCATGTAGATTAGGAGTTTTGACTTCATAAAAACATTGATCTAACTTAAATTGTATATGTGATTTAAAACATAATAATTTTTTATTTATTCTTTGTTTTTAATAAGTATATTTAATTTAAAAACAATTATATTTATCTTTTAAGTATATAAATATTTTTTGTCAATGTGTTCGAATTGAAAATTAATAATATGACTATCCATTAAGTAATCTATATATATATATATATATAATTGCTGGCTAATAGCATTTAATAAAACATTTAATAAAATTCATTTCGATTTTTCTCCAAAAACTGTTACAAACTTTATCATTTATATCTCTCTCTATATTTAATTACCAACAATAAATTGAACAATATTAATTATTGTTTACCATCTTTTTATGTTACAATCTTCTATTATTATTATTATTATTATTAATTCATCATATCTAATTAATGCTAAAATATTTCATTGCACTTTTTTATGGTTAATTAAAACAAAACCGTTACCTTTTATATTAATGGAGTAATAATTATATTATTTTATTATATCATATAATAGTTGTTATTAAAACTAATAACTATAGTTTACACTAAATGATATATGAAAATTACATAAACATAAAAAATATTGTAAATTTTTTGGTAAAGTTATTTATTCTAAAATTAATATTATATTTTTTTTTATCTTATTTAGCGATTGTATTTTTAAATAAGTTAATTTGTTTTAATGTTATATTAAAATTTCTTAAAATCGCATAATCAAATGTTATAATAAATTTAATATTTTTAAGCTAATAAATTGGCGATCTTTCAAAATTACGTTATTTATTATATTTTATGTAATTAATATAGTGGTTCATATGCAATCAAATAGTTATGTATTATTTATTTTAACCAATGATCAAATTTTAAAATATAATATCATTATCTTATTTATATTTTTATTATTATATGCATAAATATAACTTATAATACTCTATGTTTAAAATATAATATCATTGTGTAACTTATAATTTTAATACTAGTATAAATATAATTTATAATATTATATTTACACTGTACAAATGCACAGAATCGAATACTAGTGTTATATATATTGACGACCGTAAATCACACGAGTTTAATGAATCGATGCAACCTTACATGTTTGGTGCATTTGATAGTAAAGTAGGAGTAATTGACACATAAATATTTTAATGCATGCAGTCGACATTTTATATTTTTTATTATTTTTATTTTTATCTATTTCTCTCTCGAACTTCACCTAAAGTTGAAGTAGAGGATCTATTGTCATGCTTGAGCTGACAACATTATTGATCAGATTAAGGAGCTTGAGCACAATGTTTTAAATATAGTATTGGTAATCATATCGGACGAGCTATAGTATTGGTAATCATATCGGACGAGCTACCAATACGCGTTTTAGTCGGTTCAACCCGTTTACAAGTTTATCCTTTTTTTAATGAATATTAAATTAATTTATTACTATAATATAATAATATATAAAATCAACTTTAATAAATAAAAAATGAATTACAATCTAATAACAATGTAAACATATTAAAATTAAGTGTAGACTTTTCAATTTCTATAAATGAATTAATAAAAACATATATTTTTTGTTAAAAAAAAATCGATATACTCGAGATTTTAACCGGTATTATTAGGTAAAATCGGTATTTTCCAATATGGAACTGATATAAAACGGTATTTTGGCCAAAATAGTACTTAGAGAAAAACTGTACTGTCGGTACAGTAAGGTATTTAAATCAATAGTAATGAGAATATCCCTTGTAATTTGAATAACCTTGAGTGTTTGAATAATTTTTGTGATGTCCTTTCGTAAAGTAGTAAGGAGAATAGCCTTTGTAGTTTTCAAGTTTTTACGGCGATTAGAATAGAGCTATTCGATTACATGGCCTTTACAGTGATGAAAGGCCTTTACAGTGATATAACTTTTAAGGCGATATTATGGAGTGACCTAGTTCGACAAACATTTCTTGTCGGGTGCTCGAGCTCGAGCCACAATTCTATCATGCTATGCCTCGGTGAGCTGAATAACCTGATCTTCCCCGAAGGCCACCATCTCTCCGATCATAACTCCGGTAACCTGTAAATGCACCTAGGAGGGGTTTTGGGAGAAAACCTCTGATGCTCAAGTTAGTTCTCACTCATGAATATGTTTAATGAGTGCATGTAGAAGCGTAGTAATGTGTTGTGTCAAAGTAAAACCTAGTAACCCCTTATATACCCCGAGTGTCTTCTTACTCAAGTAGATCTTTACTAGGAAAGGTATCCAATCGTATCTCCTTTCCTAGCTTAACACGTCTCTAAAATTTTAGACTCTTGAGCGAGATATACTTTTCATCGCTAGTATGATTCTTTCCCTCTTACCGTACGACTCCTAAGCCCTTCGATCGTCCTCGAGACCTCATGACCCAACTGCAATGGATGCTTGTTAGGTCGAAACCACGACATTTATCACACGACTTCAAAGTCGTAATACTCCTGTCTGACACCGAGCTGAGCTCCCTTGAACCAAACATATCCGAGCAAACCACCCAGGCCGATTTACCGAGCTATTTTGAGTGCTATATATATCACACAGGATGTTTAATAGGTAACCAAAAGATGTAGTAGTTTGAGAGATCACAACCCGATTTATTCAGCGTAGTGCATCCAAAAAATAAAAAATCATATCCAAAAAATTAAATAAAAAAAGGAAATCTTTTGAAACGAAACCCCCTCCATATAAGACCACGAACATAGAGTTGCCCATTTTCCTAATATATCGAAAAAAGAACAACATTTGAACTCATCAATCTCTTTTCGGACCCAACACATAACACACAATAACAAATAACATCTTACCTCTTAACAGTAGACAAAGCAGCAAGAACAATAAATAAATAACAAAACTCAAACTCAATCCAAGTTGACCCAATGTCTTCACTCATCGGCTGGAGCTTCAGCCGCAGCTGGCTCGGTGGCTACCTCTGACGGCTCAGCCACGGCAGCTGGCTCCTCGACAGGCCCTTCTTCTTTGCTTGTTTCAGTCTCTTGAGCCACCACTTGATCCTCGGATGGCTCAGTCACGGCTTCCAGAGCTGGCTCCTTTTCCTCGGCTACAGCTTCCGGCTCGGTCACTGTTTCTGGAGCTGGCTCCTCAGCCTCAGCTGATTTGTCTTTGGCATCTTTCTCTGGCTCGGCTTCAGCGGCTGGCTCCTCAGCTGGTGAGGATTCTTTAGTGACTTCCGAAGGCTCGGGAGTCTCGTCAGCTGCCGGAGTTTCTTCGGTAGCGATCTTGGGGATGACAGCTGGTATCTCCGTGGAGATTGTTTCTGGTGCTGGAATTGAATCCACCTGAACAATTAAAAATTAATAATTGTAAGATATAATTTTATTATTTAATCAAGAATATGAAAAAAACAGAAAGTTCATACATTGTTGTACAAATAAAGCTATTATTTCAGTATACACGACAAATTAATTAACTCAACTGATTATTGTTGTTAATATTATATTTTTATTTTATAGATGGTAGTGTACAATATAGTGTTACAAGTTTTTGTTGTAATATATTAGTTGGGTTGATAGTTTTAGTCATTTTACTTTTTATATAATTGAACAACTTCGGGATAAATTTGAACTGGCTATCGGTTAAATAGGGCTAGCCAAACCATACATAATTAAGAACATCATATATGAACACAACACAAGATATTTGCAACAGTAGTCAAGAATATTTTATGATCATCGTGAAGGACTTATGTAAGACACGAATTTCAAATGATTTTACGTAAGATATTGAATTTGAAATTCACTACAGTCTACGGTAGGGAAAATTTCAAAATTAGTCCCACAGGTATAGGAGGTGACAATTTTGGTCCCGACGGAATGCATAAAATATAAATAGTCCCACAGCTTTTAAAAAATGATCAAAAGTAGGACTTTTTCGCCGGATTTACTATTTCTGGCCCGGAACGCCACGTGGCATCCGACGTGTTCATATTTTTTTACAAGTTGTGGGACTAGTTTTGAATTTTCTGCATTCCATCGGGACAAAAAATGTCACCCCTCTATACTTGTAGGACTAGCTTTGAATTTTTTCCTATCTACGTCGGATGCCAGCGTGTAAAAAATAAGCTACGTGTGCGCCACGTGTACGTCACGTGGCGCTCCGGGCCGAAAATAGTAAACCCGGCGAAAAAGTCTTACTTTTGATCATTTTTTAAAAGCTGTGGGACTATTCATATTTTGTGCATTCCGTCGGGACCAAAATTGTCACCCCCCTATATCTGTGGGATTAATTTTGAAATTTTCCCGTACAAGACACAGTAACGTTGATTGAAATAGTAACTCGTGGATCTGACCTTTATCTGTTTTATCAAAATACACTCATTATCGTGAACTTTCAGAAGTAGATCATGACAAGTTCAATCTCATGTCGATCTAATATATCAAAATTGATCAAATTAAACATGCAAACAACTAAGTATCACATACATGAACTCCATGAGACATAGAAATGAATATATACCTCAGTTGTGGCCATTGTATATGAATTGAGATGGGTGTGGGGGAGGAGGAAAAAAAAAAACTCAAGAAAACTGCAAGATATATATTGCAATTTTTTCTTAGAGACTTTAATTAACATATGGATTAATAGGGGTATTTATAGGACCCGAATCACACGACTNAGAGGAGAAAAGAAAAGAAAAGAAAAAAAAAAAAAGGAAGCCAATTTGACACATGAGATGATGGAGGTGTAATTCTGTAAAGTGATCCCCAGTCCCCTCCACTCCCCCATTCATGCCTGGTTGTATATATCTCTACTTTACAACAAAATGAAAATTAAAAATAATAAAATGTTAAAAGGGTGATGAGGTTGGCCTTCTATAATTAATATTTTTTTTTTAATTTATGCAAAAGGATGGGTTTTTTGGAAGGGCAAATGCACATGGTGGAGGCCATTTTCACCTTTGCCTGTCCGCATCTTTTTTCTTAATTCAAATCATGCTTTCATGTTCAGGTTCAGCCTAATTTTATACTTAGATTCAGTTCAGCGCTAGCTGTAACATCACTTGCAAATTTGCAATGGGTAATTAATCTGTATAATTTTTTTTGGTGGGAAATTGGGTGAATTCACTAATTTGTTCAAACAAATATTCTTCATCAATATATGTTACATAATCTTCTCCGAATGTCATTCAATCAACTAATTCAATTTCAACATCAAACCTCATTTTTACGTTTAAACTTCAACTTTTAGCATTTCCTCAAAAGTTGCAACTGTTCATGAATAAAAAGTCTGCAATCGCGCGCTTGATTGTGGAGTGCAAGCACCCACACATAGAAGAAACCCTGCTGAGCTGGCACCTTTTTTTAAAAATATATCAAATACTAATAATTTACTGGTGGGACCGCCATCCAACGGGATGGTTTTTCTTTGTGGGTTGGGGGGAATGTGGATGCCGTCAGAGGGCGTCATGGTGGGTCATAGTCATGTACGCGTGTTGACTGATGTTTAAAAGAGTTTTTACCTATCTATCTATCTATATCTATATCTATCTATCTATCTATGTTATATCTATACTTACATAATAAGAATTAATATTTATCCAAAATAGTAGGTCAAATTATGGTCAATGTCGGATTTGCATTAAATATTTTCCAAAACTGATAAGTTTTTGTCCTTTTCACACTTCTCATTATTTATGTCATTTTCACACTTCTCATTAATTATGCCTTTTCACACTACTCATTAATTATGTCATTTTTCACACATCTAATTAATTTCATTAATTACGATATAATTATCATAAATCATTCCATCTGAGCTTTTATCGTTAAAATGTATAGCGATCTGTTATGACCTTATCCCATTGATATTTCCATGAAGCGTCTTATCGCGTTCTATTTTTTTGGTAATCACTCTATATCAATAACCGGATATTTGGTTAATGATAGCACACGTCTTTATTTCAAGGAACGGATTTTCCTTGAGCTTTAATTAATCTGAACTGATTGCCTTGACTTTTCAATTTTTAAAAACTCTTTTTTTAAATATTTCGGCTTAAGATTCGGATTTCATTATACAAGTCATCGGATTGTTTGAATGAAAATGAATGAAAAGAACACCAAAAACAGGTAGCCTTATTCATATAATCAATCCTAAAATATTAGTTTGTTCACCAAAAAGAGACAAATCCTAGAAATCCTAAAATATTAGTTTGTTCACCAATCCTAAAATATTAGTTTGTTCACCAAAAATATTAGTTTGATTTTTAGGATTTATCTCTTTTGAAAATATTAGTTTGTGATAATGAGGAGTTACCAAATAATCAAACTCATAATGTTGTGTACAAGGAGGTTTTTAATAATATATGATTGTTACCGAACTTTTTATGATTCAACAATGTTCCTATGTATTTTAATCATTTCAATTTCGATCCTAATGCACGTTAGGTTATATTATTCTTCCAAATTTTACATCCCGTGCATCGCACGGGTTACGTACTAGTTATATTATATTATATTATATTATATTACTACTCTACAAGGACGAGTGTTTTTGTAAAAATATGAACTACCTAAAAAATCCTTGACTTTGTCATTTTTTAATGGCAAATTTGTAATATAACTATCTTTTATTTTTTTAATTATTATAAAAACAATAACACTAGAATTGTTCATGACCCCGATTCTGTTTATTTTTTAACCAACATAATTAGAGTCAGTTTGGTTACAAAAACTGATTGGGATCCTCCCCTATAGTAGGGGAGCGCAATCACTCCCCTATAGCTATAGTAGGGGAGTGCAATCACTTCCCTATAGTAGGGGAGTGATAGGGCCTAAATAGGCCCCCTGGGGCGAAAGGTTTCGAACCTTCGACTGTACGGGACCAAAGCCCGCCGCCTTACCACTCGGCCACGCTCCACTCCCTGAGTCCGACTCACGGCGTCGGCATAAGACATCGGGCCGTGACTCCCAACTAGCTCACGGATTCTCTGATTCAGCCCCTTCAGGAACTTATGGGCCTTATTCTCGTCGGCTTCATATTATCATTCTTTATAATCTATCCATCAATTCAATTAGCCCATTAACTTGTTTGGTTTGTGATTGAAAATTATATCTCTTAGGTGGAAATTATTTTTCTACCCTTCATTCAAAATTTAATTTTCACAATTTGCCCTTGTTTACCTAAACACTACCCAGTTCACATTCCTCATGCTTCCTCATCTCAAATTGGTGTACGAAATTCATCCCAAAACCAAATCATAGATTAGAACACAAAATTATTATTTTTTTGTCATCATCCTTCTTTACCTCAAATTGAATGTGCACCAAATTCATCCCAAAATTTACTCATAGATTAGGGCCCTAAATTAATATTTCTTATCTTCTTCACAATCAAAAAACCCCCAATTGACAAGGAAAAGAAAGCTCACCAGAAAAAATAGAGAGAATCGAAAAATTGACGGCGGTATAAGATATTCACATCCTTGGCGAAGTAGGAGAACCGGTGGCAAGTGCCGCCATAGGCGGCGGCGCGACTCTTCTCGGAGCGGTAGCGCTTGCGGGGGTCTTTTTCTACTTTCCTTTTGTTTCATATGAGGGCGGATGTCTCGACGGGGGATCGAGGCGGCGGCGGCGGCGTCAGAGGGGAGAGCGAGGGTGGCAGTGGGGATGGAGGCGGCGGAATGTCGTCGGGGATGAACATGAGAATGGAGGGAAGGCACGATGAAGAGAATAGAAGATAGGTATTTTATGGTATTTTAATGATTTGATGAAAATGATACCCCATCCCACAAAGAAGGCCGAATACCGAATAATAAAAAAGAGGAAAAGTGACCGGGCTTTTGCGGGTTTGAACGGGCTATACAAAGAGCAACCAAACAAAATAAATGGCTTGATATATTAACAAATGACAGGATATCAAGCCTAATCCTTACAACCTAACCCACCCTTATTGTTTTCCTTCTCCCACACAACCTTTGAAAATCCCCGAATCTCTCAAATTTTTAAGAAAATCATAATTAAAAAAAGAGGGCAAAATCGACGACTGAAAAAAAACACGCTCGCCCATTCTCTCTGCCCAAAAAAACGAGCACAACCCAAAAAAATCCCATCGGAGAAGACGACTCTTCTCGACTGGAAAACACACTGGTGAAATTAGGGATCGGAGTTTCCTTTTTCGGGTTTTACAGGTTCACCGAGATATTAAGACAGAAAGGGAGAAGGAGATAAATGCGAGATTTTGACCTGCACTTGGAATTTCGACCGACGACGGCAGAGGAACAATATGTTTTGTTTCATGTTTTCAGTTGATTTTACATTAATTTGGATGCTACAAACTGTTCGTTTGATTCCCAATTCCTTTTGAAATTAAATTCCATATGTTCATCGACGTAATACCTGTCATAAGTCTTTGATAGAACATGTACTGCACTAGCTATGATCAAGTCCACCCAAAGTATTTTAGTCTTTTTAGTCTTCTGTTTTCTTTTGGATGACGATGACAAAAATCGTGAGTTTTGCAAATGATAATGTCCACCAAGCAACAACGTGTTCATACGAAATGCTAAATGACAAATACGTGAACCCCAATTTGTTTCCCAAAACTCTTGCTTTTGATATTCACCAGAGCCGAATATATAAAGATACAAAGGAAGCCCTAAAACCAATATACACCAAATCTCTAAGATACCAAAAATACAAAATTCACAAAATTACTCTAACACCCCCCCCCTCAAGTTGGAGCATGCGGATTCCGGATGCCCAACTTGCCAAGAAAAAAATCAAACTCGTGTTTTCCTAAGGCCTTGGTGAAGATGTCCGCCAATTGAGAATGAGTGGAAACATGAGCGGTAGAAATGAGACCTTGAACAAGAGCATCACGAAGAAAATGGCAATCGACTTCAATATGCTTCGTGCGCTCATGAAATACAGGATTAGCAGCAATGTGCAGAGCTGCTTAGCTGTCACAATGAATCCGCATGGGCTGAGAATGAGCGACGCCAAGGCTGTGAAGTAAACCCTTCAACCATTTCAACTCACAAGTAAGGGTCGCCATAGCTCGATACTCGGCCTCGGCAGAAGACCGGGCTACAGTGTGTTGTTTCTTGGTGCGCCAAGAAAGGGGTGAATGACCAAGTTGGACAAACCAGCCCGAAAGAGACCAACGTGTAGTAGGACAAGTCGCCCAATTAGAGTCACACCAACCGTAAATCTGCAAGTCACAATCTGAACGAAGAAGAATACCTTGACCCGGAGTACCCTTCAAATAACGAACTACCCGAAGAGCAGCATCCCAGTGGGCCTGACGAGGTTGCTGCATGAACTGAGACAAGGTATGAACCGCATAAGACAAGTCAGGACGAGTGACTGTCAAATAGATCAATCGCTCAACGAGACGCCAATAACGCTCGGGGTCAGAAAAGAGAGGACCGTCTGCTAAGGGAAGCTGGTGATTCTGTTCCATGGGAAAATCCGCCGGTTTACCGCCAAGTAGACCGATTTCGGTCACAATGTCAAGAGTGTACTTCCGTTGGCACAAGAAAATGCCCGAAGAATTCCTAGCAACCTCAATACCCAGAAAATATTTCAACAAACCCAAATCCTTCATATGAAAACATCGACCCA